TATTTAGCATTAGTTTTTTATAGCATTTTTATCAGTTGAAAAACATTCATTGGGAATTTTTTGCAAAAAATCAAATTGCCGAATTTTAATGAAACTTTCAGAACTAATTAAAAAAATGAATGAAATTATTTTAGAAATGTTTGTTTTTTAAAAAGTCATGGTAAAAATATTTCTTATATATATATATATATATATATATATATATATATATATATATATATATCTCTATCTATCTCTATCTGCTACACCCACCACACCTTAATTTTATGAAAACTCAAATATGAACAGCTCTATAATTTTTTAATTAAATGCAGAAGTCTTTGAAGAATATAAATCATTGATTATTTTGTAAACTGAGGAGTGTTTTTACCCAGACTTTAGCTCTGAATTGTAAAATACAAAATAGTTAAATAAGTTGGTTCACTTAAAATTCAAAAATACTGCCACTTCTGTCCTTCCATCTGATAAATTGCCCTGATGTTAGTTGTCGATACATTGATGTAAACATCAATTTACACCTCCAAAACCAATCACCATGGTTAGACATGCTTCTTATATTTCCAACTAAATTTTTTCTGATAATAAAATTAAGTAATGTTTGTTTAAAATTACATTAAGTATACTTTAAATTTTCTAATTTCCCTAAAATAACTTTTGAAAAAATATAATTGAATTATGCGAGATTTTTTAAACAGAGAATTTTGATGACTCAAAAAAAAAAAAAAAAAAGAAGTTTTTTTTACCTAAAATTTCAGACGTGCTAGAAACTACAATTTCATTAATATGCAACTTTACAATTTATTTGTATTCTTGATAAAATTGGTACACCTATAATGACCAAACTTAAACAGCTCAATATCTTTCAGATTTTTGTTCTGCCAGCTGACAATTGTAAATAACAATTAGGCTACACTCTTACTACAATGCCTCCCAAAAAGTTCCGTTCTGAACCACTTAAGCAATCCCAGCACAGGAAAAGAGAAAGAGCAGAAGAAACTGAAGATCAGCTGAGCAAGAGAAGGAGAGAAGATGCAGAGAGGCATACAGCTAAATGAATGTCACAAAGTCAAGAACAAGCAGATCTTAGATGAAGACTCGCAGCATGGCCTGGCATTGCCCGTGCTTGATTCAAAAATCGTACAACTCATACAGCAATCGCTATCACTTGACTTAAAATATTTTTGCCCTTCCTTGCCTTTAAAGGAGTGCCCTTTGCTGTGCTGATGTTGCTACATGCCTTACTTCTTGCCTATCTCACACTGCAAATTTTTTCTAAGCTCTATACTAAACATTAAATCTGTTACGAAAAAAGAACTAAACAAAATGAACACAAAACGATCAGCTTTAAAAAAGGACTCATAACTGGAAAACCGAATGAAAAAAAAGAATGTTAACAACAAATACTTTTTTTCACACCCAACCCAGTTCTGCAATCAATCAACGTTGAGTTTAAGCAAGCGAATGAGCCAATTGGAGTAAAGTGCCATGCAGATTTAAATTTTCCCCCACTTGTGACGAATGCAGCTAATGATTTTTTGCATGCTAGTTAACATTCGTGCCAGTCAACTGTTGGCTCTCACGTTGGCCAATAGAATCTTCCTGCCTATTCGTGACAGCCAGCTATAGGCTCTCACCCTGGCCAGTAGAAAATGGCCGCAAACTATATGAAAACTGCCGTAGAAGCATGAAAAAATTGATTACATCCATTATCGATGGGAGTTGGGAAATGCAAAGTCGGTCTTGGCCTTCCCGCTAACTTGGAGCATGTGCATGTAAATTTTGGTGCATATTCGTTGAAAATTGTGGCCATGCATTCGTTACACACACACACACACACACACACACACATCCTGCCTTTTATAGATAGAGATACACACACACACACAGCTTTTTATAGATAGAGATTAGATGCCCATTGGACTACAGAAGAGAGTCAGAAGCTGAAATGAGATGTAGCATGGATACTCAGCAGACTGCAGCTGCCAGACAATCTGAAACTCCAGAAGTAAGGGAAAGGAGACTCAGAATGAATACTCAACAGACAACTTGAAACTCATAAAGAGGCTAACACTAGAAGGAGAACAAACAAGAGTAAGGCATAAGGAATTAAGACTACAGCCTTTTACTACTGAAGATTGGAAAATGGCTGCATTCAATTACATTCCCAATTATGAATATGATTCACAAGACATTGTTACCCTAGGATCCTTGTTATTATTATGTGACTACTGTGATGCAAAGAAATAGACTCATGAACTGTCAGCTATGTGTTGTAGCATGGGAAAGATCCAATTACCTCTTCTAGCTAATCTACCACAACCATTAAAAAATCTACTATTGGGCTCAAATGATGAATCAAAACACCTTTTGTTTAAACATACAGCATTACAATAATGCATTCATGATGACCTCCCTTGGTACCAATATAGTAAGTGAAAGAGGGTTTATGCCTATATCAAAAATTCAAGGCCAGATTAATCATAGTTTATTACCATCAGAAGATGAGGATTAAAAATATTTGCAAGTATATTTCATCGGCAGACATGAAGATCAAGCAGAAGTCAGGTGCAACCTTAACCAAGGGATAGGAGATGTAATCATGAATCTGCAAGAAATTCTGTATGCAAACAATGCATACAAAAGGAGTTTTAAAGCAGCTATTGAGAAAAGTCCAGCATCAGAATTTTGAGTAGTTATTAATGCAGATAAAAAAAACCTTCAAGTGAACATGTTAAGCTATTCAATTTACCTCGATGCAATGAAGTGGCACTTATTATGGCTGATGAAAGCTTTAGTAAAAGATACAATTCTTCATTCAAGAGATTCTACATTGAAATATAAAACCTTTTAATCAAATCGTAAAATAAAAACTGCAATAGAACTATCTAATTATTAGATAGGCTTTTATTTGCTTTTATAAATAATATACGTTAAGGACATTATTATCTGAAGAAAAAAATCTTTTTGCTGAATAAAGAATTTTTACAAGAATTGTTTGCATTTTTCTTTTAGTCTTTTCATTTTTCTTTAATTTTAAAAAAATGTTTTATAATTCTTCCAAACAGAGTACGAGGTAGATTATTAGGATTTTAAGTGAAGACTATATTTATTAATCAAAAATTAAAAGCTTAATCATGTTACCAAAACTTTTTACAATAATTAAAGATATTTCTTTTATGCGTCAATATGTTTTGTTTTTTTTTAGTATGGAATCTTGTAGGTGATATTATGGTTAAAATGTTACGTGTTTCAAGACTTGTCTCCCGCTTAGGGAAACACCCTTGAAATATAAAGGTCTTTGGCTTATCTCACTCTCAGTTATTAAATGAAAAATTAAATTGAGATAATAAAATTATCTAATTTATCAATTTAAACAATTAACAACTGAGTGAGATAAATTAATTATTAATATAGTAATAATTTTATTAGTTATTATCTCAGTTATTAAATTAAAAATGTAATAATGTTTTTTTTTTGTTTTTTTTTTAAGCGTTTTGTTTCACCCCCAAGTAAGGCAGGAAGCCACTAGCACACAAAGGGTTACAGAAAGTTGGAGCGAGAGCAAATAGGAGTGATAGAGGAAAGGATGAAGAGAAGGATAGGGGATAGATCAGGGCATCTGGAGACGTCAATTGACATTACATTTGAATAGTTGGAGATTATAGCTATCGGGGAAATAGGAAGAGGGGAGGGAGTTCCACAGGCGAAAGGTGTGAGACATGAAGCTATTGGAGTAGAAGAGACGGCTACATTTAACAGTTTCAACAGTGAAAGGGTGTGATCGAGATGCCAGCCTAGTAGAACACTTAAATTCATGAAGTTTGGGAACCAGCAAAAGCAGCTCCTCAGAGCAGTTACCATGAAAGTATTTGTAAAAAAGACAGATGGAGGCAATGGTACGTCTGTGAGAGTACTATTAATAATTAATAAAATTATTTATAATTATCTTAGCTATTAAATAATGAAATACCATTATAAAGGTAACTCAATAATGTAAGAAATTTTTATAGTATTTTAAATTATTATAAGAAAAAAAAAAAGTTCTTACTTAGAATTCATAAAATTATGTCAATTTTAGTGCACCATACTAAACCTGTCATAGTCAACACATTCAGCCATCAAATTATCGATGGAGACATGAAAATAATACACCGAGGTCAAGAAATGTTTGTCTAAAAAATTTAATGCCATAAGTGATATTTGTTTCAGAACAGATTAATTTAACTTTAAATTTTCTAATTTTACAAAAGTAACATTTCAGAAATGTATATCTTATTTTAGCGTGATTTTCAAAAATGAAAAAAATAAGTTTCGTGTACATTCCTCTAAAAAAAGTTAAAAATGACCGTTTCAATTGTTTTTTTTGGAAGAATCGACTAAAAATCATTCAAATTTCTATTTGAAATACTCCATAGTATTTTTTTTCTGGAATTAGAAAACTTAATCCTTTGGCTTTCAACTGAAGCTTGGGGAAAGCTACAAAAAAGGATTTTTCCTTTATGAAAAATACATTTAAACCTTAGGAATACCGAATTTATGGAGGTACCTAAAAAAAAAAAAAAATCAAACAATTATTTGATTTTTGCAAGAATTTCCAAATTAATGTGTTTTTTTTTTTTACTTGTATGAGACAAAAAAACAAAAAAAAACTTTGTTCTTTCCTCTTAATAACAAACATTTTGACAATAAAATTCTGTTTTTTTATTAAGTTTGGGGCGTTTTATCATCATGCTATATTGTTTTTTAGCGAATTATTTCTAATAGAAAAAAAATAAATAAATAAAATAATTTTATTTATTTGAGAATAAGTCCTGAAAATTTCATTAAAATACAACAATTATTTGATTTTTTCAAGAATTTCCAAATTAATGTGTCTGTGGCCACATTGTTGGAGCATGTTTCTATCACGGTATGCTATTCAAAATGGAGAGAAAGGAGCCTTGCAGAAACACCAATTATCAAAGTTTTCGCCAATAAAAAAAAAAAAAAAAATCACTTACTTGAACATTTAGAAGAATGTTCGACCATCATCTCATTTGTGACAAGGAACTTTTCAAAAATGTCTTGCAGTGATGAAATGCACAGAAATAAAATCTTGGGTTTAGCTGCCTACAGATAAATTAATAATCATTTTGTAAGGATTATTAAACAATAAAATGTTTTAAACTTATTAACAAAAAGTAAAATAGAATTCATCAAATGTTAGTAGGAGTAACAAATTTAATCTCTGGATATCTTTCAGTTTTAGTATTCAAATTTATTTTGGCATCTCAAAAATACTGAATTACTTTCCTTACACATTTTTTTTTTAGAATTTGGAAACAAATCCTGGTCGGTTGTTAGAAAACTACAATATCTATAAGTTACAATACGCAAGTGATTATTAGAATTAAAAATTACTGCCTTTCGCCAGGACATTATTTTACTTTTTATTTCTAATGCAAAACTTTTTCTCCAAATGAAAGGCAACTAAGTCTGAGATTTCTTTTTTAGCTTTATTTTCATTTTACAAATTATTAGACTACTACTAATTAGAAACAAATGTTAAACTTATTTACATTATTTGGACTATTGCTATAAAAACTGAAATATAGTTCAACATTTTCTGTCTATATTTCTGAGATGAGGTATTATGTACATTATTTACATTATTCGGACTATTGTCCTCATCTTTGTCGCCATATTTATTCCGTTTTGGCCGTTGTACGCTCCGGCCTTCTTCAGGTGGTTGGAATGTCGAACTGAACCCTTTATTTCGCTCACTGGAGTAGACTGTCCTAGTTCCACGTGCCATGTTTAATGGATATCAGTTATCAATTATCTCCTGTTAATTTCCCTCTGAAAGTTCTCCACTGCCTTAGCCAGGTATTGAACTCACACTCTTTGAGTCCTGTCACTGGATCTAACGCCTTTCTTTATCCAATGTGCTATGTGTCCTTGAGGACACATGGCACAGTGGATAAAGGCAGTGGATAGAGAACTTTCAGAGGGAAATTAATATTTTTATAACTGATTTCATCCATTAAACAATCCTTTACGCGGAACTAGAAAAGTCTAATCGAAATAAAGGATTCAGTTCGACATTCCAACCAAAACCGGAGAGTATTACGGCCGAAAACGTTGTAATAAATATGGCGACAAAGATGAGACAATAGTCCGAATAATGTAAATAATGTACAAAAAGTTTTATATAAACCGAAAAAAAAAAAATTGTGCGTACATAATAATTAAATAAGATTAGGTAAAGAAATAAGGAAAGTAATTCCGAATTTAGGCGAAAATCGTTTGGGAAGATGAAGTAGATTAGTAGACTCTTTATTCGGATGATTCTTTTTCGGACAAATTTTCTCGATTCCGTTACGCCGTACGGTTATGTTGACTAGTTTTTTAACAAGGTTTGTGAAACACTAAATTTTTCAGCCTTCCTTTAAGTAAGTTTAATTACTTTTTGGCACACTAAACGAAGTTTTGAAAGACAAAAATTATGAACAGAGTTTGAGACGGTAAAAAAAACAATTGTTGTTATTGTTAGTTAATTTAAAGAGAAAAAAAAAGGGTAAAAATTTTAAAAATCTAGAGAATCGTGGGCGGGGGGGCATAATTCGCAAGTAATTTTGTTCGTAAACATTTATGGAAGCCTCTCTAAAAGATATCCTGAGTGGTTGACTTTTATTTTTAAAAGTGACTACCAATCAACAAAATTATTTTCATAGTTGATGAAGCACTTGGCCACGGTTATATTTTTATTTTTACAATCATTGTTTCATCAATATCCAGGCTTCTACTATTTGTCTGGACCTCCAATTTTATCACCATTTTTTTTTTTTTTTTAGTAAAAAATAGCAGCATACATCCCTACAAAATTTTAACCAGTCAACGACTGTATGCTTCGAGTAACTGTTAATCACTTAAAAATCATAAAGTGTATTATTAATTAACAAAATTACTTTCATTTTTGATTTTGCGCATGTGAATTGAAACCGATTCTAATAGACTTTTACGGTTTTACTGAAAAAATACAATTTCAAGATTATTTAACAAATGAAAACAAAAATAAATTAAAATAAATATTATCAATAAAAGTCAGTGCTTTAGAAACAAAGAAAACATTGTTAATGTTATTGTTAGTGTACTGTACAATATTATTATTTTAACAATAAGTACACAACACGTTTTTCGGCCGTTGTGACATTAACAACCAAGATGACTAACGTGTTCAAATGTGAAGGCATAATTTCCAGAGGGAAAGAATTGATTGAAATTTAATAGACTTAAATGATAAAATATCGATTTTTATCTTCTACAAAAAATATTTATTTTAATTCCTCTCTTTCTTTCAGTCAATCCTACACGTGTGATAATTAACAAAAAACATAATTCATATTACCTCCATATAAGAAATAAGATCAGCAATATTGTTGGCATTTTTTCTATCGGCTAAAACAGCTTTTTTCTTCATTTTTATAACACCCGGCTTCACTTTTTCAGTCATCTTGTATTCTATTTTTTCTTCTAATAGGTTTTTTGGGGAAAAAAAAACCAATTGCACCACGTGTATTGCTAGAGCGTAGTTTCGTATATATCAGTCAAAAATTATTTTTTCTTAACTCAATTAATTTTCTTAAGTAAATCAAAAGAATCCATTTGAGTTAATTTTTTTTTAATTTAAAATTTTTATTTTATGATAAAAGTTTTCATTTTATATACGAAATGTAGAGATACGTAACTACAATTAAACTTGCATCTCTAACTTTGGAATATTACAATAATTTTTAATATCGGAACTAGTGCCGTGTGTCAGCCAAAATGTTAGATTTGAGTCCCTCTCTAAATTTCAACTCCTTTGAACAGAAATTTGTAGCAGCAAGGAATACCTAGTGCAATTGCACTATTTTTGTACTTACCTATGGCGATCTGACCGTAGAGCCCACAATAAACTGGCCTTGTGCTACACATGACGCTTCTGCTTGTGCATACTGTAAAAACTAAAAAGTGTAAATACTGACTAACTAACAGTAGTTGTAGAAGTGAATAACGCAAAAAAGAATTTATTCCAATCAATTTCAGACAGCAAATACAAAAATTAAAAATCATATTTTATTAATTAGAATCAGGTATAAATTATGTATAACTAGCTTAAAAGGCAACAAGAAACTACAGAAGACCTCAAAACTGATCCCTGCATTTAAATATTGCATTAAGCTTACCTTTTAAAAGTTCAATGATAATTTTTCTACCTACCGCCACTTAATTTAAAGACATTTTGAAGTACGTAGGTCCTTACTTTCTGTACAAACAATTATTTTCATTTCATGGATGACTTTCACTGGATTTTGCAATTAATTTCAATTATTCCCAAATTTATTTGCAAATTATAAAAATTGTTATTGTACAAAAAATATTTGTTGCAAAAATGTATGTAAAAAATTAAAATTGCCAAAATCAATCGCAATAATGAAAACTTGGGAATTCAAAATTTCAGGATTGTGGGCCCAGATCTGACCCAAAAAGATTTTAATTTGCTCACTGAGTTGGCCTGATTCCAAAATGGTATGATATGTTGGGCTATGGCTTCTAGGTGTAAAGTTAAAAAAGCATGATACAGTGACACACTGATATTCGCATTTATATAGATAAATAAAAGAAAAAATTCTAATGTTTTTAACAGAAATACACCTCTTTAAGTAAATCTTATTTTATTTTTTTGATTTCATTTCTGCATATCAAATAATAAGCATTTCAGATTACAAATATCAATTCTTTTTCATAATTTTCTGCATTTTAAGAGGACTTTCAGTTTGCTATGTAAATTAATTTTAAATTGACTACTCTGCCATTAACAAACTTTGTTATTGTTTGACTCATTTATTTTTACCATTATTTGGAAAGGTCATCATTTCTGTGTATATATATATATATATATATATATATATATATATGCAGCATCCTACACAACACAGATTTGTTCCAACCAGAGTTATCATGAACTGACCTGTGTGGATTTTCAGATTACAGAAAGTAACCAAACAACCCAGCAGATTTGCATATCTTCAAACAGCTCTTGAAATAATAATAATGACTTTTCACAAGAGAAAGCATTTCCTGTTATTTTCATTGGCTGAAAAATACCACACATCTGTATATTTTCTGCATTAATAAAGCTTACTATGCATCTTTATTATTGTTGGCATTTCTATTTTTGCTGTTTTTTATTTTGTTTTAATAATGTTGTATGTCATATTTAATATTACATTTATTTATATACTAGCTGTAAAGCCCGGTGTTGCCCGGGAGTAAACTTTCTCTGAACGGAAGATCTTAACCGCCATATTCATTTTGTACATGCATGTAAGGCTGAAGTCTAGTAGAATTGATGGCCGTCCACGTAAAAAAACGTAATGTACACAAGTTGTCGGTATTCATCAGTACAACGGAAGAAAAAATTGTAAAGCTTAAAAGGAAGCAATGGACAGGCATGGTAGCATCAGCCGTTTGCCATTAGTTGTCATGTTCACTATGAACATGGGCCTTAGGAAGTTTTTGTTGAGTTGTGGCAGATGGCTTTGTATTCCGATGGGATGCTTTTATTATCCCTAAGTGCAAGACATTACATGAAGCCCTGTGTCAGATGCAACGTAGTAAAACGCAATAGCGTGAAAGGTACACGCGTCTTTTGCCCAAAAGACGGTGCTGCCACTACTGCAAACAGAACCACATAACAGAAGTTACATCTGTTATTACCTTGTAAGTAGCACAAATTTTTTGTAGTTTTTAATAGGAACAGTTGAGGTGAGTATGAAGTGCATGTAGTGTTACCTAAAGCAGCCCTTATGGTAAGGAAAGAAACACACCAAACGGTGTATGGCAGAGAATGCATATAACAACTCTGCATGCTGCTATTCTTTTATTATTCCACTTCTTTTTGCTGAGGCCAGAATTGCGTGGATGCACCCGATTTCTCTGACAAATGAATCCAATTTCTCATGTATTGGTTTTGTGTTGCAAGTGAATATGGTTACGTGGTCGACATGTAAGTGCGAATGCAGCTATGGTAGGGTTTAAGTGATAAGGGAGCATCTGGTGAGCAAGACAATCTTAAATGTCTTAGTAATAGCAAGTGGATACTACGACAACCTTTAATTAAACCAGGTTAAAAAATGAAGGAACCTACGATGCAGCTGACATAAAGATGTGTACATTGCATTTAAACCTGACCAACCATGGACTATAGGACTTCTGCGTAGGTAATATTTTTAGCTTTGTTTGTTGGAGAGTAAACGTAAATGTTATCCTTATCCTTACTCCTGACTCGGGAACAGACTATGTAAAACTGTCCATGGGCGAAACACTGTTCACCTAAATGCAGACCCGCAATGCTGAGCGTCTGTCCTTGCGATTTGGCCATTGTTCTTGAGCTGTGCTCGCCGTACCCCAGGGCTTTCTGAAACTCTGGCAGACGCAGTAGATCTGGAATTCCTCAAACGACGATTAGCAGTCTGCACAGGACTTTCTAAAACTCTGCTAGATGCAGTAGCACTGACATTTCTTAAACAACAAATAGCAGTTTGTTGAGGTTGTTCCGAAACCCTGGAAGATGCTGTGACCCTAGCATTCCGAAGACGACACAAAGTTGTTTGTTCAGTGCTTTCTAAAGTTCTAGAACATGCTGTAGCACTGGCATTCCTTAAATGCTGAAGGATTGTCTGTGTTGGGGACTCAGATGCTCTGACCCTAGAAATGTGTATTGCGTCCTGTGAATTCTGTACTAAACACTCTTCAGTTGAAAGTCTAGCGCGTCGGGATGACATAACTGATGCTACTCATGCCAGCCTTCCAGTCTGATCAGCGCTACATTCTGTGGAGATGCGGGCAGCAGAGTGTAAGGCCATCTGAGAAAGGTGCAATGAAGTTTGCTCTGTGGTTTCACTTGCCCTTGCTGCTCTTGTAGTGGAGGCAGCAGCCGTGTGCTGTCCAAAAAGTTTTCTTCTCTTAGGTGGCATTTTAACCAATTTTAAGAAGGCAAATGTAATAAAAGGTATGTAGGTTTTTTGAGTGCAAAAAATACATGTAGTCTAAACATAGGCAGGTTAGAGGAATCCAAAAATGTATGTAACTTTTATCAAAAGGATCAACAAAAAAAATTAGTTTCAAATTCAACTAAAGCTGAAACCAGTAGGGTAATTTGGGGAAGAAAATTCGATAAACGCAGAAACGGATGTAGTTATAACTAAGAAGTAAAAAAACAGTTTGGATACGTAATCAACAACTTGCAGTTTCCATAAGAAGCGAATGAAGTGAGCCAAGTGTGGGACAGTAATTGTAGAAGGGTGAACATGCATGCGAGTTATGGTATAAAGAGACGGTTGGCCAGTTGACCTTGAGCGCACATACTAAGGTGACGTACATACGCACATGCATGCGTAAGAGAACTGCTTGCATGTATGATTGGATGGGCCAAAGGTTAAATGCTTGCAACTGTGCCAATGAGCTCACAGCAACCTTGAACAGTTGATGTGATTGGCTAACCTCCAGCTGGGTTAGTCAAAGCAGTGCACAGTGGTGGATGACGTTTCAAAATAGTATCTGGCGACTTTATTGTATCAGGTTTTTTATTGATAAATATGAAACCTATGTAGTTCCTTATACCAAAATAGGCATTGCTTTTTTGATTTACGTTATCACTGATGTAGCACAGTCTCTCAAAGTCAGCCAATCAGAAAATGGGATTTTCAAGCTTCATTTTTTTGAACATTTTAAGAAAATATTGAGCAGTCAGGAAATTTGAGGTAGTTTTTTTATTGAACAAAAGTTGAAAATACAAGCAAATTTAGAAAATAAAGTAAAATTATAGTGATGGGGTGCCTTTTTTTTGCTACATGTAAACTGCATGAAAAGACATAACATATCCGGTGTCCCCCAAATGAAAAAATGCAATCAAATCTGACAAATTGGACAATTGTGGGGAGCCAATTCTGTCCACTTCGCTTAAAAGTGGTGGCATGAAATATGTTAGTGATTGCTCACTGAATTCAACCCTATGCTTTAGTAGGCTAAATGGGCCATAAACACCTAAAAAGCAGCAGTTTCACCTTGTTTTTACTGATTTTTCTGGTAAAATTTGACATGTAGCTCTATAAATCCATTTTAAAAAGGCCTTGATGTTTACTTTACCGTGAAAATACAGAAAACATGGAAAGTAATCCATGCCTGCATTGAAACATTAAAAGATCCTTTTTTAAAAAAACCATGGTATGAGCATTAAATCCTGAAAAAAAGTAGGCTACCTGAAACCTCTACCCCATTTGGGATGCTTGATGCGCGACCACATGACCCCCATCCCGTAAAAAAAATGATTTCACATGACCTTGGAGTGTGAATGGGCCAATCAGCAGCAAGCATTATGCATCGCATGAGCCATGTGTGACTAATAACACTAACCCAATTGGCTTTTGGTGCGCA